GCTAGGAGAACAAAAGGTTTGTCCTGGAGAGGGTGAAGCCAGAATGCTCCTTGGATTCAAGGATTCTGAAGCTTCGTCTGACACACTTTGGGCATGATGCAAGGAGGGACTGGTCCTTGGTGAGGGACAGCATGCTTGGGAAAGTGGAGGGACGGTGCAGGAGAGGAAGACCCTCGATGAGATGGATCGATTCTGTGAGTAGAATGGTTGGAATGAGTGTGTTTGAGACGGCAAGGTTGGTACAAGATAGAATGGCAATTAGGGTTCTTGTACAAAGGGTTGCTATGAATCGCAAGCAACTCAATGGCACATAACAACAACAGCAAGTGAAAACAAGACCAACTTTGCAAGAAATGCTAAAGGAATTCCTTCACACAGAGATAGCGCGATAAAGTGAAAGGATCAAATCACCAGCAACAATACACACACACACACACACACACACACTTCACAAAATTACAGCAATAAAACCTTGACTTTCAATAATCACATTGAATGTGAATGGTTTAAGTAAAGAAAAAAAGAGTAGCACTTCAGAAATGTAAACAAAACCCATCAATATGCTGTTGACAAGTGACACACCTGAGAACTCAATTTCTCTAAAACAGCAAAGAGAACATAAATAAGAAAATCAATAGCAATTATAATAGGTAACCACAAGATTAAGTACTTAGGAATAAATCTAACTAAAGGTACAAAGGACTTATATAAAGAAAATGATAAATAATACTAAAACAAACAAAAAAGATACCTAGAAAAATAGAAGAATATACCATGTTAATAGATAGCAAGACTCAATATTGTGAAAATGACAATTCTACCAAAAGCAATTTACAAGTTCAATGCAATCTCCGTACGGATACTGATGCCATTCTTCAACTAGTTGGAAAAGGCAATTTCCAAGTTTATCTAGAAAGGAAATAAACCATAAATAAGCAAAACATCACTGAAAGACAAATTCTGACCTCAAGCCTACTACACAGCCATAGTAATCAAGACAACATCATATTGGTACAGCAAATGACCTACTGATCATTGGAATAGAATCGAGACCCCAGAAATCAACCCATCTTCTTACCATCAAATAATCTGTCCAACACTTTCAACTTGTTTGGCTCCACAAACAATACTCCTGGCACCAGCAGCCAGAAAAACAAGATGAATTTCATGGGAAAATCTGCTGTCAGGGAACTTCTCTAGAGTGCTAAAAAGCAATGATGTCAATCTGGAGACTAAGGTGTGCCTGACTAAGGCCATGGTCCTTGCAATTATTTGCTATGTAATGGAGAGCCTGACAATAACTAAGGGGGACAGAAGAAGAATCGATGCCTCTGAGTGGTGGTGCTTAAGAAGAGTATCAAACATATAATGGACCACCAAGAGAATAAACAAGACTTTCCTGAATAAAGTGAAATCAAGCTGCTCCTTATAGGTAAGGATTTTGTAGTTCCATCTCACACGCTATGGTAATGTTGCCAGGAGAGACCAGACCTTGGAGAAGAGACAAAACAGAAGAGGAAGACCACTGATGAAATGGACTGACATAGTAACTGGGGTATTGAGGACAATGTGTTGGAGACATTGAAAATAGCAGGATAGGGCGAGGTTCAGAGCTATTATACATAGGGTTGCTCTGAGTAGCAGGCAACTCGATGGCACAAAACAAAATATTAATTAGAAAAAAAAAGTGTAGTAGTAGAGATAGCATGGATATCCATTTAGAAAATTGGGAAGAATCTCAAATTCCCAAGTTGAAGTAAGATGGCTAAGGGAGGATATTTTGTTCTAAGAACAAGAGTAACTGAATCCAAAATTGGAAGCAGAAAGAGATAGTAGAAAGGTGCAGAGGAAAGATAAAAGGAAAGATGGAGAAAAAACTGTGAGTAAAGTTGTTTTGAAAAGAAGGTCAATAAGACAAAAAATTCAAAGTGGATAGAAGAATTAAACAAGGTAATGGAATAGAAGAGGCTGTGGTACTAGGGATATTATAGCTAATCTCAGATAGATATTGGCTAAAAACAGAGAGTACCAGAGGAATGTCTATCTGTGTTTCATTGGCTATGAAAAGGCATTGGACTGGTTGGATTACAACAAACTGTGGCTGGCTCTGAGAAGAATGGGAATCCCAGAACACTTGATTGTGCTTATATGAAGCTTATACTTGGACCAAGATACAGTCATCAGAACAGAGCAAGGAAACACTGCATGGTTCAAAATTGGGAAGGGTGTATGCCAGGGATGTGTCCTATCTCCATGCCTTTTCAATCTATATGTGGAACAGATTATCTAGGATGCTGGGCTCTGTGAGGAGAAATGTGGAATCAGGATTGGAGGCAGATTCCTCAACAATTTGTGTTATGCAGATGACACAACCCTACTTGCTGAAACTGAGAAGGCCCTGAAGTATTTGCTGCAGAAGGTCAAGGATTTCAGCCTTTAATATAAATTGAAGCTCAACATCAAGAAAATAAAGATTCTCGCTAGTGGGCTATTTGGCAACAGTGGGATAGATGGTGAAGAGATTGAGATTTTTAACAGCTTTAGTTTGCTTGGCTCTACCATCAACACTCCTGGTACCAGCATCCAGAAAATAAAAAGACAAATTGCATTGGGAAAGACTGCTGTCAGAGACCTCTCCAAAGTACTGAAAAGCAACGACGTCAGCCTGGAGACTAAGGTGTGTCTAAATCAGGCCATAGTCTTTGCAATTACTTGCTCTGCATCAGAGAGCTGGATAATGACTAGGAATAATAGAAGGAGAACTGATGCCTTCGAGCTGTGGTGCTGGAGATGAGTACTGAATATACCATGGAGGAGATGAGTATTGAATATACCATGGACTCTAGGAGAACAACAGGTTGATCCTAGAGAGGGTGAAACCAGGATGTTCCTTGGAGGCAAAGATTCTAAAGCTTTGTCTAATGTACTTTGCACATGTTGCAAGGTGGGACCAGTCCTTGGAGAGGGACGTCATGCTTGGGAGGGTGGAGGGACGGAGTAGGAGGGGAAGACCCTCTATGAGGTGGATTGATTCAGTGACTAGGATAATCAGGATGGGTGTGTCAGAGACAGTGCGACTGGCACAGGATAGAGCAGGGTTTAGGGCTGTTGTACATAGGGTCACTATGAGTTGCAGACGGCACATAGCAATAGCAATAGCAACAACAAAATACTACACAACACTGGAAAACAAGGAACTCAAAATAGTACATAGCATGTTGACCCTGGAGGACATTACGCTGAGTGAAATATCTCAGTCACAAAAGAAAAAATACTACATAACACTGTTACAAAATAGGACTAAAACAGGGTAGGGGAGAAACTAAGAAAGGAGGGGATAAATAATGAATACTCTATTGAAACAGATGAAGGAAAGAACTGTTTAAAAAGAATATATGATTAGGCATTATCTGTATTACAACAGTTCAGAATATGAGATGCACAGCCAAGAGAACCTGGGTGGGGTGGGAAGGAAATTATGCAACAATGAATTTTTTTAATTGTACTGAAAAAAAAGAAAAGTGAACTGAGGGTTAGGGAGGAAAATGTGCAACAAGGAATGAGTAAAAATCCAATTTTTCTGTAAGCTTTCATTAAAATCACAATAAAAATAACTTTAAAAAGTAATGTACATATGGCAGAATGAAAAGGAAATGACAGAAAGCTTGACAGTCTTGCTAAAATGAAAGACCGAATGTCTTTAAAATTATTCGTGTCTTTACCAAGGATTATGTCCTTAAAATAGGAAGCAATTCAAAAGACATATCAAGTATAAATTATTAACATTTTAATGATTTTATTGACATCTATATTACATAAATTAAAAAAATAATAAATCTTACCCAAATGTTGAGTTCAGATCCTCCCAATCTTTGAAGTTTATTTCTCTTCGTAAGTATAGCCTATAACATATAACAAAAATAAAGTTAACATATATTTCATAAAAATGAGGTTTAAAAAATGATATAGCTAAATGAGCAACAATGAATGAATGGAAATCCAAGTTCTTTATAAACGTTCCTTAAAATCTTTAAAAAAATTATACAGCTAACTCATTCCCATCTTGGTTATCAGCCATTTTCACTTTGTTACTTTTTCAAATTGTGGGTATGTCAAATTTCTTAGTGTGAATGCTTTAAATGCTTTGAATCAAGAAAGTTACTTCTTGAACCAGTACTTTGCTAATTTCATTTGGACATTTTCTGTATAACTCTTCTAAAGAAGTAGATGATGTGTTACCGATTCATCAAGAGAAGCTTAAGTTTATATTGCCACACAAAATAATGACCTAAATTAGCATGAAAATCCTTATTCTCCAAACTCCTAAATGAAATATTTTAAAGGCTTATAAAATCCATAACTGAACTTAAAAAAAGAGAAAGAATTTTTCAGAAGGCAGAATAATGAAAGTTATTAGTAACAAAACAAAATAAACCCCCATAATGAATCATCACATTAACCTGAGGAAGGCATGGAGGTAGTAGTATTAATTGGTAAAATACTCCATGCCATCTCTCTACAACAGAGACCTGAGAAATAAAGTGAAACTGACACAGATGAGAATTCTGAAGGTCCAGGTTTCAAATGGGAGGATAAATAATTAGATCAAGAAGACACTGGATGAAAGTAGTGATTAAGGAGATAAATAGATCAAAACAAATGCCCCCCTACCTGGCCTGGCACAGCTTAGCTATTTTGAGCCAAAGGGTGGTAATTTCACAGAATGCAAAGTAACTGAAATATGTTGTTGTTGTTGTTATGTGCTGTCAGGTAGCTGACTGTGACACAACTACCCTCATTTCCTCAGTTACTGTAACAACCCATCTCATCTGGTGTCTACCTATCCTGTGTTGTCCCTCCACTCTTCTGAACATGATGTCCTTCTCCAAGGACTATTACTTCCTGGCCATATGTAGGCAAATATAGAGTTAACGAAAATGAACAGAATATGACATAAGATAAAGGATGAGAATGATTGCCTTAGGAAGAAATATGCAAAATGCTGGATCTCTATGTTAGACTTAACTGCTAGAGTCATGTACAACTTTATATCGTGACTGTAGCCATCTTAGTATTTACTTTGTAAATACCTATACATCCTTAATGATTGCTCCCACAGAACAAATAAAAAGCTTTTTCTAGTTCTGTAAAGAAAATGGTTTCATTTTATATGTTGACTTATACTCTTAGGTCAATAGTCTTTGGTTTTATTTTTAAGACTATAGGTTGTTCTTAAAAATTATTTAGGGTTAACAGTATGAAATTAATATCTATTTTTAAGAGCATTGAATTGAATCAATTGGAAGCATACTGTATTGTACCTAATCTATACTATGAACTAGGTGATTAACAAAATAGAATTATCTTCGAATCCACATTGAATTTGTTTAGTCTTTCTACTAGAGTTGCTGGTTGCCAGTATCATGCATTCTTCATTTTTTCTCATTTTAAATAACAATGACTCCATTAGATAATCCAAGTACAGAAAATTACATCTTATTATCCCAGCACCAATATGAAATTATTTTTTAAAAATATTCCATTGTCTGTAGTAAAGTCAGTAAAACTGAGCTAAATGTCACTCACACTTTTCAGGTAAGCTTTGTGGGAAAGTCGTTTATAATGAATGTATATAAAATAGTTTCAAATATTTTCAGTGAACTCTAGAGTCACAAAACTTTCTATTTTTATCATATGTTTATAAATATATTTACTTTTGAAAGTTTACAAATTTCCATGTTTCTCTTTATTTATCATTTGCAATAAAATGTTCAATTATGAAAAACAAAACAAAAAGCATGTAAGAAATATATAGGGGGACCCACATCCCCCGTCTTCAGGTATCGCATCGCTTCCCCCGCCCCAGTCCGTGATCCTGCTGCCAGCTCTGAACTTTGGGGCCCTCGGGCCTTCGGCCCTCGTGCCAGGACTTAAAGAAAAGAAAACCAAAAACAAAACCAAAGCAAAACAAAAAACAACACAAAAAACAAAAACACATAGATCAAATTTATAGCATTTTTCAACCTCACTTGAAAAAGTTGTCCAATAATTAAGATTTCGTTTTCTTAGACTACAAACTGCTGTTTGGCCCTACCACATTGGTCCCACCAGCTTAAGCAAAAGGCAGGTACTGGACATCTCGATAGAGAAGTAGTGACATCAAACCAAGAACCAACTATCACCTTAGTTTTCAAAACCTCTTCCACTTCAATGTCTTGAAAGAAGCAGGGTAGCTCAGTCACCACGCAAGCTCAAAACAAGATATCTCCCCCCCCCAAATGACACAGTAGCAATGGATTTCATGAAGCCAGAAAGTCTTATGGATCTTTCTGATGCAGAATTTTTTTTTAAAAAAAAAAAGATGATTGAATGTTTTCCATGGATGAAAAACAAACTTGAAGAATTACAGGACACTAGAGTAAAAAATCAGGAGGAACTTAAAAAAACAATCCAAAACAACGCAGAGAAAACAAATGAGGCATTAGAGGCACTGGAAAAACAAGAAATCATAATTCAAAATTTGAAATCTAAGGTTTGTGATGCTGTCAAAA